AAAAAAAAAAAAAACCAAACAAACAAACAAACAAAAAAAAACACCTCACTTTCTCACATTGATACCAAACTCTATTCACCATTAAGTTGCTGATACTTTACTTGGCCAGGCAGTGGTGGCGCACGCCTTTAATCCCAGTACTCAAGAGGCAGAGGTAGGTGGATCTGTGAGTTTGAGGCCAGCCTGGTCTACAAGAGCTAGTTCCAGGACAGGCACCAAAGATACAACTTAAAAAAAATTAAAAAAAAAGTTGCTGATACTTATATTTTAGTCCTGCTTTAATCTCCTTGCCAGTAAATTCTCATTATTTTATCTCAGTCATTAAACTCTCTCCCACTAGGATAGAAATTTTAGCACTGACCTCCAAAGCCATGGCTCAGGTGTCTCTCCTGTTTGTCAGTCAACCATCTCTCTCCATAAGGTTTTCCCAAAGACTCTGCGCGCCACAGCTCTCTTCTTCGTGTCTTTCGTTAGCACCTCACAGTCTATCTTTTTTTTTCTCCTTTTTTAGTTTCTTCACAAAAGCTCTATGGTGTGGTCTTCTTGGTTTAGGATACTCGCATCGGCATAAAGGTATCTCAGCGAGTGCTTTTCAGGCAGAAGGGAAGGGTTTTCACTGCCATTAAAAGGCTTCCTTTCCCGTTGCTGATGAGCTCCGTGCTACATGAAAAGAACACCAGAGTGAGAGAGAAATAAAGTTGAATTAGCTCAGTTGGCAAGTATCAGTTGAGGCACTTTGTGGATGCTTTTCCTTTTGCAAAATAAAAGGGTTTTGAGGCTTTTATAATTTGACCACAACAAAGTAGGAAATTCTGAACCTTCCGAATTTCTGGAGTAAATTAGCCTGAGTTATGATTTATGGGAAAAGAGAGGGAGTAGTAACTATAGGTGACAGGGTGAGACTGATTTAACAGTCATTGTACCCTGGACCTCAGGAAATGCATGTGAAGAGGTGTCCACTCCAGTCGGCTTCTCTGGAAGAGCAAGTGAAGACTCCTACTGAATGTGAGAAAAACAAAAGTCACAGCCAGACGTTGGCAGCTGGTGCACACGGGTTAGTGCACACCGGCAACACAGCGGCTAGTGCACAGCGGCTAGTGCACACCGGCTAGTACACACCGGCAATATGGCAGCTAGTGCACACCGGCAACACTTGCATTTGAGCGTGGTATAAGACAAGTTAGGAAGTTACTTGTGGACAGAGGAGGGAGTCACAATATTTTATTTTTGAAATAGAGTCTCAGTCTCCTTGTTATGGGGCAGCACAGCCATAGACAAAGTTGTTTCTGTTTGGGAAGCGAGAAAAACCAGCGCTGGCGCTGAGAGCAGCCTTTTCATGCAAGTGGTGCTGGAAAGGTGTGAGGAGCTTCACAAGGCCAGCCACAGGAGAAAAAGAAAAAGAAAACATAGGGTCTCATTCTGAAGGTTGAACTTGAACTCTCAGCAATCCTCTGCCTCAGCGCCTGAGCACTGGAATTACAGGTATGAGCCACCATGCCTAGCTGACAATGTCATCTTAAAGAGAAACATTTCATTTGATCTGCGTTTATTACCTTTAAAAGAGAACAACAGCTGGGCCCAGAAGAGCAAGGCCTATCATCCTAGCTACCTGGGATCTGAGGCAGGAAGATCAAAAGCTGAAGACCTTGGCCAGGGAAATGACTCAGCAGGTAAAGGCTCTTGCCACTAAGCCTGGTAACCTGAAGAGAGTCCCCAGGAACCACGTGATAGGAGAAAACTGACTCCCACAAGTTACACACACACACACACACACACACACACACACACACACACACATTTGCTCAATCGATTGATCAATCCATCAATGTAATATTTGCCGGGCAGTAGTGGTGCTCACCTTTAATTCCAGCACTCAGGAAGCAGAGGCAAGTGGATCTCTGAGGTCAACCTGGTCTACAGAGTGACTTCCAGGACAGCCAGGGCTACCCAGAGAAACCCTGTCTCAAAAACTAAAAAGAAAAAGAAATTAAATTCAAGTCCAGCCTGGGCTACAGAGTTCATTCAAGCCCAATCTGGGTAATTTAGCAAGAAATGTCTAAAATAAAAATGAAAATAAAAGGGGGTGGAGCTGGGTATGCAGCTCAGTGGCTGCCTGTGGCACGCAAAGGCACTGTGGTCCATCAGCAATGCTGTGTGGAGGGATGGAGGGGAGAAAGGAAGAGCAGCTACACCACGGTTCACTTCTCTTCCCTATGAGCTAAAACACTTAAATTTACAGGGGGCCTGGCGGTGGTGCACGCTTTTAAACCCAACAGTCTGGAGGCAGAGGTAGGTGGATCTCTGTGAGTTTGAGGCCAGCCTGGTCTACAGAGCAAGGTTCAGGATAGGCTCCAAAGCTACAGAGAAACCCTGTTGTCAAAAACGAAAAAAAAAAAACCCAGAGCAATAATTTTGCAATGTTTCCATTTCAATAATTTTGCTATGTTGCACTAGGATACAAAATAGGAAATTTTAGAGAGAGCTTAAATTATACATCTATAATTTTTTTTTTTTTTTTTTTTTTTGTTTTTTGTTTTTCGAGACAGGGTTTCTCTGTGGCTTTGGAGCCTGTCCTGGAACTAGCTCTGTAGACCAGGCTGGTCTCGAACTCACAGAGATCCGCCTGCCTCTGCCTCCCGAGTGCTGGGATTAAAGGCGTGTGCCACCATCGCCGGGCTTACATCTATAATTTTTAAAAATATATAGTACCTATCAAATGATACTACAAAGTTTATGAAGGCATAAACAGAGTAAAACTATGTAAGGATAGACTATACATGGGTACAGCACATTCATGAAGTTACCTCTGAAGTAGGATGGAGGAGGGGACAGACATCTGGGAAGAACAAAGGGGAACTCAACTTTATTTCTAGTGCTTTTTCCTTTATTTAAAGTTCTCTGGCCAAGCATGGTCATGCACACCTGTAATCCCAGCACCTCCCCTGTGGTCATCCTCTTCTCGGGTAGAAGCAGCCTCTAACGGTCGCTTTGATTTTGTGAGTCAACTTAGTCAGGCTCTTTGCAAAAAAACAAAAACAAAAATCAATGGTAAGGGAAACTGTGGTTTCCAAATACCTTCTAAGTTATCAAATGCTAGAAGAGTTAAGGGCCAGATGAGGAGCTCATAGCCATTCTGTTACAGGCTTAACTTAAAACTCTTGTGGCAGAGCCCCAGGAAGAGAGGAGCCAACAGTTACATTGGGAACACAGGAGCTTGGGTTCTAACACTTAGTATCTACGCTCATCGACGCAGGACTATGTCTTCTATTCCTTTAGTGTTCCTGGTCTTTCCTTCCCTCTCCCTTCTTCTGTCACAGCCCACAGAATGTCTAGTTCTTTACACAGAGTAAGCATTCTAAAATGTTCTAGTCAATGATAATGTCACAATGGGCCTATTAATAGCATCATCAAGACTTGAACATTAGAAGGCCTCTAGTTGGTCCAAGCAGGTTGAGCCACAACCTCTTGAAGTAGACTTGCAGCTTCTCAGTGAACACTTTTATTAGCATTTGCCTATATTCTGTGAGAAATAGAAGAAATACAAACAAATCGCCCGGATTTTCAAAATGTTCACCAAAAGGCAAGGTGATTTCAACAGCGAGTCTGATACAGATAACGAAGCCAAGGATCCTTCCATCAAGAAAAGAAAGTCTGAAGGCAGTTTGGATAACTCAAAGGGTTCTAACCTCGAAATCCCATTATCAGTAAAAGCAGTCATCAGGAAGATTGAGCAAGCGAAGCTCCTTCGGGCCAAAGAGGTAAGTAGTCAACTGACTTATAGACCACAGATACTTAGAATCTTGTATGACCAGGTGAACTTTTTGTTTGAAAAGAAAACACTTTACGTCCAAGAGAGCTTACTGACTTTTAGTTAACTTTGACTTCAAATGACACTTTTTTTTTTAAATCAGACTGTGGATAGCAAGCTCCAATTCTGTATCAATCTGTTCAAGCTAGAATTAGTCAAGACGTTTAAGAAGTAAATCAATCAATATGGCTGCACATCTGTAATCCCAGCACTCAGGCAACTGATGAAGGCAGGAGGAACTTGAGTTCAAACAGGAGGCCAGGTTGAGCTAAACATGAACAAAACTTGCCTAGGGGTGGAGAGATGGCTCAGTGGTTAGAAACACTGACTGCCCTTCCAGAGTAACCCTGTCCTGAAAAACCAAAAACCAAAACACAACAAAACAAAACAAAAAAAATTTAAAGAAAAAAAAAAAGACTTGTCAAAAAAAAAATCAAAAGCTGGCTAATCTGGAGATGGCTCAGCTGTTTAGGCCTCTTTCTGCCATACCTTACCACCTAAAGTCATCCCCAGAAGCTACACCTCAAAAGAGAACCAACTCTCCAGCCGCACTCTGGCCTCCACACACATGTAGTGACGCTCACACTCCCTACCAGCAAATATATAAATGTCATCTTAAAACTCCACAAAGCTGAGGCACCAGCTCAGTGACAGAGCCTTGGCCAGCAGGAGCGAGCCTCTTGGCTCAGCTTCAGTGTGGCCAAAAGAGGAGAGAGAGATGTTGGTGATGCTTGCAACATTCCACACAGCTTCCTAGTCCGGGTTCTCACAACTGCAACACCAGTTTGCTCTTAACAGCTTTATTGGGGCTGGAGTGATGGCTCAGAGATTAAGAGCACAGGCTGTTCTTCCAGAGGTCCTGAGTTCAATTCCTACCAACCACACGGTGGCTCACGATCATCCATAGTGAAATCTGGTTCCTCCTCCTGGCCTGTAAGAATACCTGCAGGCAGAACACTGTATACGTAATAAATAAACCTTAAAAAATGATGTAGCAAAACATAACTCAAAATTTCTACAGATTTCTTCCAAAGGTCCTGAGTTCAATTCCCAGCAACCACATGGTGGCTCACAACCATCTGTAATGAGGTCTGGTGCCCTCTTCTGGCCTGCAGACATACATACAGACAGAATATTGTATACATAATGAATAAATAAATATTTTAAAAAAATTCTACAGATGCAAGCTAGGCAGTGGCACCCGCCTTTAATCCCAGCACTCGGGAGGCAGAAGCAGGCAGATCTCTGAGTTTGGGGTCAGCCTGGTCTACAACAGCTAGTTCCAGGATAGGCTCCAAAGCTACAGAGAAACCCAATCTCAAACAAACAAACAAAAACCCCAGCTTTATCAGTCACCTTAGTTACTTTTCTATTTTTTCTATTGCTGGGATAAAACACCTGACCAAGGTAATATATATAAAAAGAAGTATTCAATGTCAGGCTTACAGCTTCAGGGGGTGAGTCCATTATGGCGGACCAAAGCCGCGGTGGCGGAAGCAACTGAAAGCTTATATCTTGATCTGCAAGTTGGAGGCAGAGAGAAAGCTAACAGGGAATGGTGTGGGCTTTTGAAGTCTCAACTCTCACAAAAAGTATTCAGATATACAAGCCTATGGGCCATCCTCATTCGAACTACTACATTCCACTCCTTGGTTCCCACAGGCATGTGGTCATATCATAACAGAAAACCCATGTCGTCCAACTTCAAAGGTCCCCATACTCTTTTACAATCTTAATACTATTTAAAAGTCCAAAATTCCAAAGTCTCTTCAGAGATTCAAGGCAATCTTTTAATCTGCAATGCCCTGTAAAATCAAAATAAAAAAGCAAAGTACGTATTTATAACACACAACGGCAGACAACATACATTACCATTCTAAAAGAGGAATGGGGGCAGAGTGAAGAAATACAGGACCAACGTGTGCATACATAAGACTGAAAGCTAAAAGAGCAGACTCCAAATCCTGTAGTTCCTTGTCTGACGTCAGAGGCCTCAGATGGCTCCACCCTCCCAGCTTTGCCAAAGGAACGCACCACATTAACATCCTTCCCGCCCTCTTGAGCTGCGTCTGCGGCTCCCCTTGGCAGGATTTCCCACTGCTCAGGCATCTCCAGCATCGTGGGGTCTCCAGTGCAATCCAGTCTCTACTTTATGAGCTTCACACAATGGCATCCCTGGGCCTCCTTGAAGAGACTCTCCCCTTCCACGAGCCTGACCTCTGTGGCTCTCCTTCACCGTGGAGGAAGGTGCCATGACCCCTGTCCGCGTGTATCCTTCATGACTCTAAAAGTCAGAACCCTGTGGTCGAATTCTGTTGCCTGCTTGCGATGGAGCCTGGCCCCCTGAATCACATTGACACAAGCTTTTCTTTGTTGTTGCTTTTTAGGAGTAGAAAATTCCTCAGGCCCTTAGAAGTTTAGCTGGTTGGGGTCTTGCCCTAAGGGCACACTTCCTTTGTATTTTTTCAGAGCTGGCCTTTCTTTAATTTCCTCGTCTCTGAGCATAAACCTGGGTTCCAACATTACATTTCTTGTTGCACTTTTTTGCTTCAAGTTGTACATTTTGTATTTTTGTCCTACTTATTTTTGCCTTTGTAGAATCACATAAGCGATTACTAATAACTGAATGAAAAAGGAAATAAATAGAGGACATGACTGCTTTTTATTAGAGATATGAGGTGTTAGGAATATTTTCCTAACCGAGTAACTCCGCCAACGCAAAATAATCTCAATCAAGCCAAATCAGACCAAATTAAAAGATATCCAGGTTTAATTAGATACCTGTGCTCCCATGTGGCCCCAAGAGGAAACGGGAAGCCACCAATGTGACCACCAGAGAGGAAGAGGGAAAACCATATGTTTATTTTCTGGGGAGCAGTTTAAATAGCGTATGGGAGCCGGGCGATGGTGGCGCACGCCTTTAATTCCAGCACTCGGGAGGCAGAGGCAGGCGGATCTCTGTGAGTTCAAGACCAGCCTGGTCTACAGAGCTAGTTCCAGGACAGGCTCCAAAGCCACAAAGAAACCCTGTCTCAAAAAAACAAAAAAGGAAAAAAAAAATAGCCTATGGGAGTGGTCTTGACCTTTCCTGGGGAGGAGTCAAGGTTCAAGGGGCACAGAGGAGGGGCCTCAAAAGATGAAGGCTGAGGCTGGGATTATATTCCAGACTGTTTGTATAAAGGGTGACAGGAAGCTGAGTTGATATCTATGACCAACATTTAAGCTCTCTTTGGAGAAAGGGGCGTCAACTCCAGTCTGGCTACTTCCTGCGTGCATGGAGCAACATGGGGGAGGGGAGGGCTGGGTGTTGGTGGGTTTATGCATAGCAAGAGGTGTGGCTGGAGAGGCATCCTGTTTACTGTCATCCCTAAGACACCAGGCATCTGTTAAGGTAGCTAAGAAGGCAGGTGTCAAGCGTCCTGGTCCTGCGGAGTTGCCTGCTTGAGCCTGGAGAGATGGTACCAGCAGGGGTGTCCCAGAAGCTTGGCAGCCAAGGGGGTGGTGAGGATTACCCTGTGAAGTTCTGTCCATCGAGGTTTAGGAGACCTAGGAGTTGTCTGTTTGAGGAGTACTCTATCCCCTGGGGAGAGGGGGGCAGATTTAAGGGCATTAGGGTCCACTGGTGTGGGGGCAGGGAGACAACTGTCAGCATGTGAACAGAGAAGGGACCTCAGAAGAGGTAGGGTAGATACCCCGCCAGTGGAGGAGTATGGACTGGGAGATGATGGTTAAGGAGAAAGGGCCTGACATAAAGCAGCTCAAAAGGCCTCAGCCTGTAGGGGAATGAGGGGTAGCCCTGAGGCGAGTAAGGGCAATGGGGAAAAGGGAGGGCCAAGATAACCTGAGTTCAATGGAAAGCTTGGTTAGCCGTTGTTTGGTGAGTCCATTGGCCCTCTCCGCCTTTCCTGAGGATTGTGGATGGTAGGGGATGTGGAATTTCCAGGAGATGTTGAGAGCTTCTGACACAAGCTCCATGACCCTGGGCCACCACATCTGCCATTTTCCTGGAGGCCGGAAACACTTCTATCCACCCATGATTGGCCTGGACAAAGTGCTCTTGAGAGCCTCTCGAGTGAGTTCAGCTGCCGCCGCCAGGGCTCTTAGACATGGTTGCCATCCACAGACAGTGAAGTCCAGCTGTTTGGATAAAAAGGCAACAGCCCGATCGAAGGCCCAGCCTGTTGAGTTAGAACTCCCGTGACCACTCCAGACCGCTCATCTGTATAGAGATGGTAAGGCTTCACGTGGTCTGGAAGAACAGAAGCAGGGGCAGTCAGAAGGGCATCCCGCAGTAGAGAGAAGTGGTGGTGGACGATGGCCGGGTGGGTGAGAGGCCCCGTGGGAATCTCTCTGGCTGCTTGGTACAGAGGCTTGGCTGTAATGTCAAATTTAGGGATCCAGTGGTGAAAGAACTCTAGCAGGCCGAAAGTTGAGAGGATTTGAGCTCCTGTGGTTGGAGGCTGTAAACCCCACAGGGCCTGGATCCTGTCAGAGGTGAAGGTTTTGGACTCTGGGCTAGGTTGAACACCATTGTAGGAGAGCACTTCTGAGCCTTAATTGGTCAGACTCAATATCCCAGGGATCCAAGGACGTTTAGGACAGTAAAGAAGGCATCTTTTAGGTCCAGAAAGATAAAGTAGGAGGTGGTAGGAGGGACGTGCGCAGAGGTGGCCTGTTGGGACAGAGACTGTGTAGGACTGCAGAGAAGCAGTTCGTCGTCACACTGGAGGAGCGTGCTAGAACCTGCGTCAAAGTTTGAGCAATCTCGAGCCAGAGCTTGGCCAAAGAAATGAAGGCTGTCCTGAAAACCCTGAGGGAGAACAGTCCATATAAGCTGTCTGGAGGATCAGGAGTCAGGGTCCTCCCACGTGAAGGCAAAGACGAAGTATGAGTCAGGGTGTAAAGGGACAGTAAAGAAGGCATGTTTTAGGTCCAGGACAGTAGAGGAGCCTTGTGAGAGGAGGCTGCTTGTTTAGCCTGGCTGCCCAGAACCAAAATAATCACACAGAAACTGTTTTAATTAAATCAGTGCTTGGCCCATTAGCTCTAACTTTTTATTAACTAGTTCTTGCATATTAATTAAACTCATTTCTAGTGTTCAGTGTATTGCCACGAGGCTGTGACTTACCTGGAAAAGTTTAGGCATCTCTCTCTAGGGGGACTACATGGCTTCTCCCTGACTCTGCCTCCCTTTTCCCTGCATTCAGTTTAGTTTTCCCCACATATCTAAGTTCTGCCCTGCTATAGATCCAAAGCAGTCCTTTATTAACCAATGGTATTCATAGCATAGAGAGGGGAATCCCACATCACCATTTGTTGCAAAGAAGGTCACTAGTTGGTTCCTGGCTGCTTAGCCCCAAAATAATCACACAGAAACTATATTAATTAAATCACTGCTTGGCCCATTAGCTCTAGCTTCTTATTGGGTAACTCTTACATTTTAATTTAACCCATTTCCATTAATCTGTGTATTACTATGTGGCAGTGGCTTACCAGGTAAAGTTCTCAGCGTCTGTCTCTGGTGGTGCTCCATGGCTTCTCTCTGACTCCCCCTTCTTTCTCCCAGCATTCAGTTTAGTTTTCCCTGCCTATCTAAATTCTGCCCTGCTATAGGTCCAAAGCAGTCCTTTATTAACCAATGGTATTCACAGCATGCAGAGGGGAATCCCACATCAAAAGAGGAGGTGGCAGGAGGGACATTAGACAGGAGATTATGTGGGTTGTTAACCAGTGGGTGAACTAGAATAATCGCCTCATTTATGAGGCGGAGGTCTTGAACCAAGCAGTAAACACCAGAGAACTTACGCATGGGAAGAATTGGAGTGTTACAGCACGGCGAGTCAATAGGAATCAAAATAGGCTTAAGGTCTTGGCGGTGGGTTTTAGAAATAGGAAACTGGGGTCTGGAAGGGAAGGACGAAAGGTCTTTACAGCAAACTGTAAAGTAGCTGGTGGTGAGTAGCAATCACAGGAGTGGAAGTGTCCCATACTTGGGGACCTACTGGATCAGGAAGAGTAGGGACAGGACAGTCTGGGGCAGGAATCTGTGAGGCTATTAAAGTGAGAAGAAAGTGTGACTCAGGAGAGTGTGTGGGGGCCAAAGTGAGTGTGGCCCCGAAGCAGCTGAGAATATCTTGACCCAGTACAGGTGAAGGGCAAGTAGGTATTACTAGGAAAGAATGAGAAAAAAATTGCCCTGCAAGAATGCAGGGCAGTGGTAGTTTTAAGTGGGGAAGAATGGATCCCATCTACTCCCATGACTGAAATTGGTGAGGGGAACATAAGACCTGAGTGAGATGTTAAAACAGAGTAGGTAGCCCCTGTGTCCAAAAGAAAAGCAATGGACTTACCTGCTACCTGCAGCGTTACCCTAGGCTCGGAAAGAGCTATGGGAGTCACCAAGTCTGGGCTGCGTCAATCCTCTGCAAGTCTGAGAAGTTTGAAGGCTGGCACAGGCTCTCTTGCTGATGTTGGTGAGGCTGGACCTCTGTGGCATGGCATAGAGGACAAGTCCGTACGGAGGCATTGTGATTTCCAGTGTCCAGGCTGCTGGCAGATAGGGCATGGCCTCGTGGGAAGCCCAGGGCAATATCGTGCCAAATGGTCATTTAGGCCACATTTGAAGACTGCCAGTGAGGTTGACTTAGGCTGAGCTCTGCCGGGATGGAGCCTCATGGTTGACTTACCTTGTGCCCCTTCCAGTGGCCTTAGGGCAGCTGCTAAGGCTTGGGCCTGCAGCATTGCTGCCTGTTACAGCCTGGTCTGTCAGGAAGACTCAGCTGTCTCTTCTCAGGCATTAAAAACTTTAAAGACCATTTTCAGCAATTCCTGTATGGGGGTTTGGGAACCTTCCTCAGCCTTTTTAAACTTTTTTCTTTTTCTTTCTTTTTGTTTTTTTGAGACAAGGTTTCTCTGTAGCTTTGGTGCCTGTCCTGGAACTAGCTCTTGTAGACCAGGCTGGCCTCAAACTTACAGAGATCCACCTGCCTCTGACTCCTGAGTGCTGGGATTAAAAGCATGTGCCACCACCGCCCGGCTTAAACTTTTTTCTAATATCTGGTGCTGGCTGAGAAATAAAGTAGGTCGCCAGGACTGTGGCTCCCGCTGGGGAGGCTGGGTCCAGCCTGGTATATTGGACCACGGTCTCTTGAAATTGATTTAAAAATTGCTGTGTTTTTGTCAGCTAGCTGTGTGATCTCTTGAAGTTTGTCAAAATTAACTACCTTTTCTGAGACCATTTCTGTATCCTGAAGGAAGCAATGAACCATGGTGTCCCACCTCTGTTGGCCACTTTGGCCAGGTTGGTAGTCCGAATGTGGTTCTGTGGCTGACACAGTCACTTCCCCCACAGGGACCGTACTGTCTACCAGATGAGTCTGGTCTGCATATTGTCTTGCTGCTGCCTGAATTCTACTTAGCTCCTCAGGAGTGAGGGTAGAAGCTTGGATGACATAGTATTCATGCCAGTTTAGATCATAGGCCTGGAACAGATAGGAAACTTTAATATAAGCAGAAGAATTAGGAGAGGAACCCAGCCACTTTTCTATTTGAGAAAGATTTGAAAGAGAAATGTAGGAACATGGACTTTAATAATGCCATCAGCTCTAGCTACTTCTGGGAGAGGGCAGAGAAGGTCAGGGATCTGATATGGGAGGAGATTGGGGGGGGATTGGGATGGTAAACCCAGTGCTGTGGGGGGAGGAATGGAAGGTGGGTAAGGGGAAAGTTGACCTTGAACTTCAGCTTTGGCTAGGGAGGGAGTAGGTGTGAGTGGGTGCTGAGAGGAATGTGGAGAATGTTGCTCCATGTTGTGCCCAGATTGCGACCCCCAGAGAGGCCAAGACTGTAATTAGCAAGGTTTAATCAGCATAATACAAAAATGTTTGGAACCCCTGTCTCCAAAATCCCGTTGCAGTGAGGAAGAGAGAGGAGTTTTATCTCCTCTATGGGGTAAGTTTTTAAAGGCATAACTATAAAGAGGTTTTTTGAAGCTGCTTTGGCACGGGTGCAAGGACTTTTGTTCCCTCCCATTCTGCTAAGTCAGCTTTCTCCTTGTTTGTTTTTTTTTTAATTATTTATTTATTTAGTGTATAGCATTTTACCTGCATGTATGCTTGCACACCAGAAGAGGGCACCATACAGTTGTGAACCACCATATGGTTGCTGGGAATTGAACTGAGGACCTTTGGAAGAGCAGCCAGTGCTCTTAACCTCTGATCCATCTCTCCAGCCCTCACCTTGTTTGTTTGTTGGGTTTTTTTTTTTATCACCAGGTGTGGCTGACTGGGCTAAGTGACCTTGTGCTGGGGATCTCCTGGGTGGGAGGCTGGGAAGGCCACTATCTACTATCTTCCTGGGAAAACATTCTGCTAGGAAATTTCTTCTAGCCCCTTTGAGAATAAGGGGTGAGGGTCCTACACGCCACAGGAGAGGATTGGGTAATGAGGGTTCGAGGGAGTGGGGGAGAGGCCAGTGCCTCTGGCTGCATGGTTAAGGCTGAACTATCTGGATCCCAATTCCCAGATGACCGGGAGTCTGGAGGCACCATGATCCTAGTGACCAAAACTGGTGCTGTGAGACACTGGCTACTGAGGGAGGGGTGAAAGGGCAGTGCCCAGAAACCATGGACATGGAGAATTCTGTCCATTTGTCCCCACAGTGACAAAAATTTTCTAGGTCTCAGAGGACGAGGACGGTAAACAGGGTTTCTCCGTGGCTTTGGAGCCTGTCCTGGAACTAGCTCTTGTAGACCAGGCTGGTCTCGAACTCACAGAGATCCGCCTGTCTCTGCCTCCCGAGTGCTGGGATTAAAGGCGTGCGCCACCATCGCCCGGCTAGAGGACAGTAAACTTAAGGCTTCACTCACCACATCGTGTCCCATTGCCAAGATCGTATTGAGGCCAAATCTTAGGGCATATGTAGTGATGAGGAGGCAAGCAGGCCTGCTTTTTGTTCTGCCCGGCTCCCGCAGAGGTAGCTTTACACCCAAAATAACAACACACAAATTGTATTTTTTTAAACACTGCCTGGCCCATTAGTTGTAGCCTCTTATTGGCTAATTCTCACCTCTTG